GTTATGATATTTCCGCGTAAAGGATGAAAGATACTTTCACCAAAAAAAAAAAATGTAAGATACCACCAATATAACAGCTGTATTGTTCGATGGAACTCACTAAACAGAACTATTTGTTATGATATATTTTCAGTCTTCATGTCTCCCACTCCTATGCTCACCCTACAAATAAAATAAACTACTCATCTGCACCATTTAGCTATATATGAATTGTTTCCTTAACCACTTCAAATAATCTTTCTGACTTACCCGGGGAGTATGGGCATTCATGGCCATGGGTATCCATGGTTTCCACTTTCCACATCGTTGTATTATCGAATTTTTTTCTACAACTATATTGCTATATAGACTAACACCATTAATGATTATCTAGTTTTATAACTATATGGCAATAAACACAAATATATAACATCTATAAATTGTTTATATTATTAGGGGCGGTGGACGTCAGTTTGGTGGACCCTCATACGGTGACCTCGGGATTTGCGATTCGCGTCTGTTTGGCGGATCAAAGGGAGTTCCGCATCTGGGCTAACATCTGGTTTGGCAGATCAAAGAGAGTTCTGCATTTGGTAAAATTCCTTGTAACGAGAAGCCCATCGATACAAGGTGTTTGGCGGATCAAGATAATCGCTTAGGAGAGGACACAAAGTTCGTGGTCCTTAGCTTGAGGGGATGATTGTTATGGGACAATCCAAGTACCACATCGGTGATACAAGGGAAGGAACCCCTGTATATTAGTGTCCACCAAGCTCATTAGTACGAGGTCTTTTGGGGAGAACACCCAAGAGTAAATCCGTGCGGGCTTGGCCCAAAACGGACAATATCGTACTAATGGAGAGACCCCGGTTTAACAAGTGGTATCAGAGCCTGGTTCGCTTCGGGCAGTGGACGTCAGTTTGGTGGACAAATTTTTACTAATTGAGCAGCCCGGTTATGACAAGTGGTATCAAAGCCTGGTTCGGTTCGGGGCGGTGGACGTCAGTTTGGTGGACCCTCATTCGGTGGACCTCGGGATTAGAGATATGTGTTTGAGTAGCCCAGTTATGACAAGTGGTATTAGAGCCTGGTTCGCTTCGGGGCGGTGGACGTCAGTTTGGTGGACCCTCATTCGGTGACCTCGGGATTTGCGACCAGCGTCTGTTTGACGGATCAAAGAGAGTTTCGCGTATGGGCTAACATCTGGTTTGGCAGATCAAAGAGAGTTCTACATTTGGTAAAATTTCTTGTAACGAGAAGCCCATCGATACAAAGTGTTTGACGGATCAAGATAATCGCTTAGGAGAGGAGACAAAGTTCGTGGTCTTTGACTTGAGGGGAGGATTGTTATGGGACAATCCAAGTACCACATCAGTAATACAAGGGAAGGAACCCTTATATATTAGTGTCCACCAAACTCATTAGTACGAGGCCTTTTGGGGAGTACACCCAAGAGTAAATTCGTACGAATTTGGCCCAAAACGGACAATATCATATTAATTGAGCAGCCCGATTATGACATTCCGCTTCATCAAGTTTGATTTGGTGTTAGGCCAGCTAGATGATTGGATTAATGTTGTCATGCAAGTTTAAACTCGCTAATTGAAAAGTAATTACGTTCTTACTTTTGATTAGTTAAACATTTTCTTGTCTCGATTCCCGAATGCATATAATTAAGCACAAAAATATATATTAGGAAACGTCCTAATTAAGCAAACATATAAGCAACTTCAGTATACACAAACCAAAGAATGAATTAATACACAGTAATTTAAAGACCCATAGAGACAAATATTGAATTGACAAGGCAAGTTCAACGCATTGTTGTTGTTGAGAGAGAGAGAGAGAGAGAGAGATGTATGGTACATTTTTGCATGAAAGGGAAAGTACAGTTTGCATGTAAGCCCTTCTAGAAGCTCATTCTCTATCGAGCTTTTTTTCTAGAAGCACTTATGCCTCTGGTCATAAACGATCAGCAGTACATTTTTGTGAATCATGCGGTTGGTTGGTACCTCTAATCGAGAGCTACCATGTTTGAATGTTTATGACCATTAATATTAACAATTGATTTAATTATATTATATTATGGATATATCTAAACTTTAAATTCAACCATTGATTTGCAATGTCATTAGATCCATTCTTGAATATCTCTCAACAACTTAAATTATTGTAATAGAATGATTTGTAGATAATCTGACAATCAGGTAACAACAAAATAATTGGCACCCCTTATTTGTAGATAATCTGAAAAAAATAGATTACACGTTAATATAAGTGAATTTGTATGAATATTACGTTTGTACTGCTTAGTAACCTGCCCGTGCAGGTTAATTAAGCCAACAAGTTTTCCTCTGCAACTAGGAAGCCTCCTCCCAAGATAGGATCCAAATCGGTTAGGTAGATGGATTGCCTGAAAATAATTAAAGTGCAATCCCATGCTTACTTTAATTAGGCCCTCCACACTGTCTACTTAACAATGGATTGCCTCATAATTAGTGGTAATTAAGTATCAAAACAGGAAAACTATTAGCAGCTAGAGTTTGATATTTACGCATAATTTGTTCTGCCAATTTGCTTGGTTCGGATTAGTAATAATATATGGTATGAGAATATATAGAATAGCGTGATTAAGGAGACAAATTGAATCATTCGGTAGGAAAAATTGATGAGAATTTTATTTTTCTTCATTTTTGTGTGTGTATAGAGTGGCTGTTATGCATTGATATTTCAGCATCTAATATATCTCCCGGCGGTTGAGATGTAGCACTAGTACAATCTTCATCAACAACTGATATATTTGATTGTCATTCAAAGTACTTAGCCCATGTTCGGTTACATCCATAGATCATTCTAAAATGAGTTAATTCCCTTCCCGAGTTAACATACTCCGGAGGAATATATAGGCATGAAAATTAGTTGATTTATTGGTTAATTTGACCTAATTGTCATTATCCATATAGCTATCGTGTCGGGTCCAAATTGGCCATACGTGCTTTTGATGGTTTTGAGTTTGAGTTGGGGTATGATTGTGTCCAATTTGGGTCAACTGGTTAGACCCAAATGGATCTATTTGGATCCTGATAATTGTACACACAAAAAAACAATATCAATCATCTCATTAACTCGCTTCAACCAAATTACACTTTTAATGTAGATGTTCCCACCTTTCTGTTCGTTTCATAACAAAATATTTGCAAACATTGTATTAGAATTAAGTATCCATTTTCTTTTGGCTCATTCAATATTATAAGTCAAATTTAGGCCGAGACTAAAATGTTGGGTATGAATTTACCTCAAAATTAAAACTACACAAAACTAATTTCCATCATAATTTGGGTTTAAGTAATGTCCAAATATAGTGGATTTTTTTTTTTGTCATCCTTAGCGCGAAGGACAACAATTCCCATATACACTATTACATAAAATTTGAATTTTTTGGTGAAACATTTTTTGTCAAACAATTCTACATTTCCTTATAGCCAAACACTTAATTGAGACTGCCATATGTATAGCACCGAATTTTTTTACAATACCTATTTATATATTTATGACAGATTAACATATTATTAGACATAGAAATTTGTTTAGAATTTAGGTAAGATATCCGTATGTATTTTACACCTAACTTTGTCGCAATGGTATTAACTATCTAAAAGTTTCTACATGTAACATGAACAGGTACATGCATGATGTGGTTGTGAGGGTTCTATAATCAACAACAACAGTATTGTTAATATTTTAACTTGATTTGTTGAGTGTGGATGCCTAACATGTAACTAACCGAGTTGATTTATAGGTAGAATTACTAGGGCTTTTTATATTGCTCACATGTGGCATGATTTGAGCCATTAAATATTATTAGGTTGAATTAGACTTCCCCCCTCCTTAACATTATATTAAAATAACCAACCTGCTAATCTGTTCTTATTATCATTTTTGTTTAGACATCTTCTTCTGGATTCGTGACAAACTAACAGCTACCAATGTTTCTATTCTCTCTGATTTCTTGATAGTGCAAGATCTTATCTTGGATATGGTTCTCCTCATTTTTGTGGTGCACAGATTATTAATTAATATATAAAACTCAAGAATCTTTGAAACGCGGTTCATCTATGTCTTGCATGTATTGGATTATGCGCATGACAGTTCTCTGTCGATTTCCATTTTTCGAGCACACTGACTCAACTTCTCTTGCACCAATTCCTAGTGAGCTTTAGCTGAAATTTAACCTGAGTCAAGCGACTTGTGTAGTAACTGTCTCTAAATCTTACCAATACATATGAATTTACAGGGTCTGTCTCTCTCTCTCTCTCTTCTAATCACCATTAATTTTTCTCAACCCTAAAGTTTTACTTGTGGTTGCGGACCTTGCAAACTTTTTTGATTTGCGCTCCCTCGTTATGTTAAGTTACCTAAACCTTGTGCAAACTATTTTCAGCTTACTGTCGTGGAAATATAATTGTATATAAAATATGTGGTATTTGGATCACGCTATGGAGGGCATCCTCTTTTGATCACCTTCAGTACTCCTTGGGCGATGTTTAACGGCGGAACCAGAAATGTAAATGAGGAGACTAAAACTATAATTTCATAAAATTTAAATTGACGAGACAACTAAAATCGTGCCAACTACTATATTTCTCAAATTTATTACTAAATTTACATGTAACGTTATGGAGCTATAGCCTCCATTGGCCATGTTAGAAATCAAGAAGGTTGATTTATCAGTCCAAACGAAAGCGAACCTTATAGGCAGTATTGGGCTTTTCTTCCTCCGGACAAGGCAAACGTGGACTAAGCAAGCAGGAACCATTAGTTCTCGTTCGTGGATACACAATTGGGCCCTACCCCGACGTTGGGCTTTGCAGCAAATCGCAAAAGTTCACCAGCTTTAAACTCACTAACTAATATCAAAACCTTCGGGGTCTGAATTTCGGCGCCGGAGATTGACGTTTAACGGCGGATGCGCTGTCAATGTTGCTGAACGTCAATTGGTGGCTCGAACCCTAACTGGCTTAGCTTAGCTTCCTCTACCTTCGCCCCCCAATTCATAGCGAAGAACACCATAAACCCCAAAGAAACAGTCAAATTTCATGGATTCATGCCAGCGGGAAAGGACGCACTGATCTTCCTGCCAATTCGTAGGCGATATTTGTGTCCGTTTCTACTTTAGGTACGCCTCTTCTGCCCTCCGTTAATTCTGTGTCGATTGGGCAGTGGCCTGATGTTTGAAACGCAATACATGGTGAAGGATGTTTCGCCGCCATGAGAGGTTGCGATGCTCTCCTATTCTTGTTTGCTTTATTGATAGTTCCGAGCTAATTTGCAGACGACGTGTTTATGGAACAGAGGAATTGATTTCGACTTCCGTTAGCAAAGGAAAGTTGGAGTCCAGAGCAGCACTGGTGACTTCCCAATTCCAATAACTTGCGGCATTAGTTTATCTTGTTTCACCTTACTATCAGGTTTCTTACTTTCCCCTCTTGTTTACTACTCTGCCTGTATTGGTTGATGATGGCTCTGAAGTAGTTGTAAGCTATATGTGTTATCACTGACGGGCTCCCTGGAAGTGGAGAGAGTGGAAGCTTCATTTGGCTTGTAGATTAGTTGAACGAGCTAAGTAAAAACTAGTGCTTTCTTAGTTTGGGTTACAATTTGCCCTCGTGCGTGGATACTATCACACAAGGCCAACTATCTGGAGCTGGATTTAGGAGCTTTTGGATTCTAAAGTGAATATGATATTTAATAGGTATCAGATATGGCGACTTTCCCATTTGACGACCAGAGCATTTCAATGATGTCTCTTGACACATTTGCTCAAACACACTGCTCCTGAGTTTCTCTTGTTCTCAGGCCCAGAATAAAAAAAAGATGAGGGTCTAATTGGTCTCAACTTGTTCTTTTCATTAGTTAGAATAGGTTGTCAAGATATGAGAATAATACCAGCAACCCTGACTATATGTTGAATCTGAAGGGTTGAGGCCTTCTTTTTTCCTACGCTGTTGGGATATTATTTTCGTCTGCTAAAACATCTTCAAATTGTTGTTAATGACAGATTTTCATAAGCTGCTGCATCAGCAAGCATGTTACTTTCTAGGCTTTCTCGAGTTGGACTTGGAGCGTCTAGAATTCTCTCACGAGGTATGGGCTATAATATTTTTCCTGTTAGCGTTGCGGGTAACCAGGAAAAGTCCTCTGCCTCACGTAATTTAGTGTACGTTTCTGTCATGATCAATTGTTTACTGGGAACCTCTTTTTTCTTTGTCTTTTCTCTTATTCACAGGAAGATGCATACCCTCATGTAGAACAGTATCAGTACCAAGGTCTTACGGTCATTACTTGCAACCTCAGGTGAGTATATTTACTGTTGTTCCTGCTGTTCCGGTTTTCATTTAGATTGGTTCTGGACGCGTTGTGACATTTACAGCATCAATTGTTAAGCTTGAGTCAGGACCTAGTAGTATAGTATATAGGTGTTCAATTCATTTTTTTCTTTTTTTTTTTTGTCAATTAGCAAGGGAAATAATCTTTTGTTGCCTTACTGTGTCATCACACTCTTTACATGGGAATCTATCAATCTATCGTGGAAAGCTTTGTGAATATCATTTCTGGTGCCGAAGGGAACTATCATTGTTGTGTTATTCACGATTCTATGGGCGAAGGTTTTGGGAGTCTTCTTCGTGGCAGTGTGTTATCAGGGAGATGTGTTCAATTATTCTAACTTGAAAGTTTTTGGCTGTTTACTTTTGTGGAGCAGCTTCAATCACATCAAGATAAGCTGTACGAGGCTTTCGTTTTTCAGAGGCATCATTACTTTTCCACCGAAGGTTCTAGTGGCGAATCTTCAAATGGAAGTCAAGAGAAGCAATCGTAAGCAATTGTGTGTGCAATAGGGTTAATACTTAATACTAATATACCCTGGGATGTGACGTAATCACAAGTTATTAACTATTCATGGCTCGGCATTTGTGACAATTGGCTACACATCTTCTCACTTATGAATCAAGATGGGTTAGGGACTTTTTGTGTGCTTTGTATTAAGTGTTCTGAGTGTCAGTTCTTATACAATTACAACATTGGTTAATTTGAGACTTCCCTAAGTGGGTTATCCTAAGTTTGGGATATGAAACTTTCAACCATGCAGATGTAAATTATGTAGCACTCTAAAATTGTATTTATTGATGCTACTGCTTCTGCTATTTCCCCTGACAGCATGTTAACATCTGCAGGATATCTGTAACTTTTGTAGACAAGGATGGGGAGGAAAAACAGATTAAGGTCCCAGTGGGAATGTCCATGTTGGAAGCTGCTCATGAGCACGATATAGAACTAGAAGGCAAGGATGATTCTACTGATTTTCTCCTCATTCTTTGTGCTCATGGGTATTTATTTTTCCACAACATGAGGAACTAACTTTTATTCTCGTGTTATCTTCAGGAGCATGTGAAGGCTCGCTTGCCTGTTCGACGTGTCACGTTATTGTGATGGTTTGTTTGTTTGAGCCTTCAACTATTACTTGGTAATTATTGAGTAGCGAACTTCCTAACTGTTTGTTGCATCATTGTCAGGATGTTGACTATTACAACAAATTGGAGGACCCAACAGACGAGGAGAACGATATGCTGGATTTGGCCTTTGGGCTAACAGAGACGTGAGTACCCTTGCAGATAGTACAGGGCAACTTGGATTCATCTGGATAGGAAACAATTTTTACTAATTTCATCTTGGATTCTGTTTTTATATTTGTAGTTCTCGACTGGGTTGTCAAGTGATTGCAAGTCCTGAGCTTGATGGGGTGCGACTAGCTATTCCTGCTGCCACTCGGAATTTCGCTGTTGATGGCTTTGTACCAAAACCACACTAGTAACCCCTTGGATTGGAGAATAGCTAGAGTGGAAACATCATTCCATTTATGTCCCAGTTTTGTAGCTAGCATTGTAGAGCGTTTAGGCTTGATGAGAAACATACCTTCTCCAATGTTATTAGTGTTGCCGTTTATATTGCTGCATGTTTATCTGATGCAATAATCTGGGTCATGAATGTAGTTAATCTCGTTGTCCTGAAATAGGAAGATTTGAAACAGAAATAAACTGTTTCCCTGTTGTAAACTTGTATGCTCTGTATTGGGGCTGACTGCAGGTTTTGTTTCCTCAATAAAAAAAGAAAGGGGTAAATGACACATTTGGTCACTGAGATTATTAAATTGTGTCATGTTTAGTCACTAGAAAAAATTAATATCAATTTTGGTCACTCGAATTACCGAAACTGGTCAAATTTAGTCACTCTCCCGTCAGTTTCCGTCCAACTCCATTAATGTAGTTGGACGGAAACTTTTGGGAGAGTGACTAAATATGACATGTTTCAGTAATCCGAGTGACTAAATGTGACATTTTTCAATAATTCGAGTGACCGGAGTTGGACAGAGGCTACAGAAGAGTGACCAAATGTGACCTGTTTCAGTAATTCGAGTGACCAAAATTGATATTAAATTTTTCTAGTGACTACATATGACACGATTTAGTAATCTCAGTGACCAAATATGTCATTTACCCAAAAAGAAAGCAATGAAAAAACTATTGTTTAGCTAGTTTATCATGATTATGCACAAACTCTCATTAATATGCATAGTATGTTACTCTATCCCTTCCATTAAAGCATTCTAAACCGAGTTTTCACCACATACGTGAGGAATTATAATTAGTTAATACAAGCTTTCGATTCATGCCATTAGGTAATAAAAAATAAGGATAGCATATTCACTATTTAGGGCATCTATGAATCATAGCAATGGTATATAGAATTGTTGATCTAAGTACCAAGCATCGATCAAACACAAACATACATAATCGCGTCATCAACTAAACATAACTGCATAAAATAAAGAATAATTTCATGCACAACATATAATGATGTTATTATAAGCAATACCATAGTAGCAGATGATAGATGATACAAGAATAAAATGATTAAGACATAAAAAAGTGTAATGTCTATATTTTATCCAAACATTTTTTCGGATTCTTTTTCATTAATAAAATCTATTAAAATACTAGGAATTAGCCAAATGTTAACTTTCAGTTAACAATTTTGTTAGTAATATTGACTTTACAACATGATACTGACTTGGAAGATACACATGAAGGTCAACATTCCAAAATTTTAGTATTTTAACTACGAAAAGAGTACAAAATTATTAACGATAACGTAAAAATGACTAATATTTTGATTCATTACGAAAGATTTGACTAATAAATAGCAATTTAATAGGTTTGGATAATATATAAGAATCTGAAAAATGTTTGGATAAAAAATAGACATTACCCTAAAAAAAACTAAATCATAGAATGGTATAAGCATCACATGACTAAAGCATCTAATGATATAAGCATTCAATAATAAAAGCATCTAACGACCAAAGCATCTCGTTAAATTATAGAAAGTAGATGCATGTAGCATCAAAGAATTCACATCTATGAACAATACAAACTTAGACTAGACATAGAGGAGATTGATGATACCACTATTGATGATGAAAGCATCTACATGAAGCTCTGACAGAAATTCACCTCCTCTTATGGATGCTACTCGAGCCCACTAGGGTAGGGTGTGTGTACGAAGTATGTAAAAGCTCTAGCCTAAACCTCTATGTATATTACAAGGAAGAGGGGGGGGGGGGGTCTACGGTTTTCCTCCTAAAACCCGAGCAAAAGTGTTATGATACCACTAAGATGCGTGATTTGGGGGCGAAGTAAAGCATATTCCTGAAGCTCCCATAGGCGTGGGCCACCGGCTGTAGGGGTCTCTGTCATCCAATAGGGCTGCTTATTTTTTGGAGAAATTCACCTTAAGTTTATTGGGTTGCTCCTCAAATTTTAACTCAATCTAACTTCGCTTGATCCGTAAGCTTTCACAAAAGTGGTTCTTTGGGTCATCAAATGAACATCCAATGCCCAAATTCATCTTTGTTTAAGCCTGAACTTGTATTCTCGTCCTCCTTCTGATCCATTGATTATCCATATTCCTCTTGATTGAGTTATATCATTGAAATTCACAAAATAATACCAAAAGGTGTGAAATGGTACAAAAACAAACTCAATGTATATCTTGGGCATGTAAATCAAAGAGTTATGGTATTTATATAAAATATAGTAAAATATAATAAAGATGCATCGATAGAAGGATAAATTTTCAGTGCGGTGCTCGATGTTCATCTAGGTCGAGGTGATGCAGAAATTTTCAGTGCTCTCCCTGCAGGTGCTGCGAATATGGTCCGACCAGCTCCTGTTGTGAGTCGTCTCCCAAATCCCTATTTGATTGTTGTTGGAGGAGAAAAACCCACAAAGGACGTTAGTGAATAGCTGGCATTTGCATCATTTCAACAAACTCCTCAACGTTGTCCCTTATCCGACATCAAATGTGACCACTACTAAGAGAAGGGCCATACGGAAAAATAGCATCGTAACCGAAAATTTTGTGTTTATTGTAAGAAACGTGGTCATATAATTACGGATTGCAGACTTTTTCAAGAATGAATGAATGAATGAAAACAACATGTATGTCAGCAATAATATGGAAATGGCAGCGGGCCAGCGGCTATAGAGGCAACAACAACGGTTCGCAGTATGAGAGTGGCTATGGAGGCAACAAAAACGGCTCGCAGCCCTAAGTCTTACTCACTGTGTATGCCACGAATGTAGCTGCTGGTTTGGATGGTGTGGTGGTTATGCCTGCTGCACTCGAAGAACTTGTTAACAAGGCTATACCCTCTGTGCTTGTCAATCTTCAAATCTCGGATAAGTTTCCCAAATGGGTTATCAATTCAACATGCTTCAATCATATGGCCAGTGATGTTTCTCCAATTAAGAATATGCATCATATGGATAATTTCTCTTTACAAGAGGCAAATGGCGAGAGGCTTAAGATTTATGGTATTGGTTCAATAAAGGATTCTCGTATTGATTTACTGGCAACATTCCACGTTCCTAAATTGGTTCCTAGTTTAGTTTTTGTTGGCCAACTTACTAAATAAGATTGTCGGGTTATTTATGCACCATTTGGATGTGTTGTGTAGGACCTGAAGAAGGGGAGGGAGCTCGGGAGATGTAGGAAGCAAGGTCGCATTTTTCTGTTGGACGAGTTCATCACGTCGTCTTCATCTCGACTGTCATTGATGTTATCGAATTCTTGCTTGGTATCTAGGGTACCTTTCTTTCTTGCTTATTCGAGTCTTAGTGATTAGAAAGCCGTTTGGGTCATCCCAATTGTAGTAGGCTTGTAACCATACTTTGTCAATAGTTATTTGGTCAAAACTCTAAATTTGATCATTTATCATATTTTTCTTGTCAAAACTGTGTGGAAGTCAAAACTAATCGTATTTCCCTTCCCTCGAGTACTAATAAAATCACTGAGCCTTTCACTTAATCCAAACATATCTTGGAGCCCAGTCTAGTCACATCTCGTCATGGTTACAAGTATTTTGCGTTGTTTGTTAATCATGCTACTAAATATACATGAGTTTATTTTATGCGCCTTAAATCTATTCTCTTGTCCATTGCCACTGAATTTTTTCAAATGAGTAAGACTCAATTTGATAAAAACCATCCTTGTTGTCCATTCTGATCCAGGTTGAGAGTTTAGTTCACTTCCTCTTCTAACCTCTATAAATCCCTTGGCTTCCTCATTCAGAAGTCATGTCCCAGTATTTATTAATAAAATGGCTTACTATAACGTAAAAATCACCACGTGTTAGGGGTAACTCGAGCTCTCCTTTTGGCGTCTCATGTTCCCTCTATCTTTTGGACTGAGAGTGTTTGTAGGGTTGTTCAATTGATTAATTACTAAATTACGCACATGTGGGGTCAGTCTAGTCCTTTTTAAAACTTTTGTCAAGCATCCTCATTATTCTTGCCTTCGATTCTTTTGATGTCTTTGTTTTGTCTTACTCTCTCGTTCTGGACGTACCAAAGTTTTTTCTAAAACCTTTCGTTGTGATGTTTTTGTATATAGCGAAATTTATAAGGGCTATCTTTGCTTCAGTCATGTTCTTAAGCGTCTTCGTATAACATATAATTTTGTCTTCATGGAGAATCTTATGTCTTATTCTTGTTTTCTTCGAATGTTCCCCTCTTTGATATGTTTTTGGGTCTTCCTTCCTTTTGTGATAATGATGATGATGCTCTCTTGATCTCAACCAGCTGCCCTGTAACTCCCCACTTGTCTCTCCTTCTACACCACCACCTAATGTTCCTATGAGTTGCTCCCTGCGATCCATGTTGAATGTGCCACTTAAGTTGCATCAAGATTGTGTTACCTACAGGGTTGATCCCATTCCCATACCACTGGGTACTCCCAAGCCAAGGGGAATCCGAATTAGGAATGTGCGATGACTGAAGAGATCGATGTTCTTCACACCAACAGAATTGACTTGTCGTTCCTAGTCCTTCTCTAGTTGTGGATTCTCCTTGGGTGTTTATCATTAAGTTTAAGCATGATGGTTCCCTAGATCGCTATAAGGCTTTTGTAGTTTCTCAAGGATTCAGTCAAGAATATGGTGTTGATTTTGAAGAGACATTTGCTCATGTTGCTAAAGTGGTCTTTGATAGTTCTCTTCTTGTTGTAGCTTTACTTCGTTAGTGACCCCTTTATCGGCTTGATGTGAAGAACAACTTTTTACATGGTGATTTCAAGGAAACTGTCTATATGGAGCTTCCGCGTGGTTACTCTCATGGCTCCTCTGACAAGGTCTGTTTGCTTAAGCGTTCTCTTTATAATCACAAGCAGGCACCGCGTGCTTGGTTAGACAAGATCCAGTCTATTATCTTGGGCTGGGCTTTTCGACAGAGTCTTAATTATCGGCCTCCATGCCTGCCCACCGCTCCTCGTGCGATCATATGGAGCTTTCTTTCTGTGTTGATGACATGATTGTTAGTGGTGATGATGCGGCCTGGATTAAGGCTCTTGCTCAAGGGTTGCACGTGTCCTTTACATTGAAAGAACTTGGTGCGCTCTCTTACTTGTTGAGTCTTAAAGTACAACGATCTAAGGCTAGTATTCTTTCGGTCAGAATAAATACATTGATGACCTCCTTGATTCGCTTCATTTTGATGATTTACTCCGATGAAACTCAATCCCAATGGTGACAAGTGATCTAACTAGTTTCATTAGTAATCCACCAAATAAATAGAGGGAGAAGACAGAAGAGTAAAAATTACATTAGTATTATTATTGTTATTATCATCATTATCTTCTTTCATTCTCTTTTTATCTATTTTACCCCCCGCACAAAAGTAAAAAGGAAAAAAGAAAAATCCTTTCTTCTTTCTAACCCTAGTTTATTCTCCCAAAGAAAGCCCGCCGCTCTGGTTGTTTCCGACCCTCCTCGCCCTTTTCACCACCACCACCGCCACCTTCAAAACCCAATGGATCTCCTCTTATGCGTTCAAAGCTATTAGCCGATTCCACCGCCTCCATCCCCTGCTCGGCAGCTGGTACGTTACGCCTTGATACTCAACCCAACAACTTTTAGCCGTTTTCGTGATCTGGGACACAATCTTTTCTCTCTATATGCCTCTAATGAGAATCGGGTATTCGTCCCTTTTCCTTTTCTTGCTCTCTTGATTTTCACTTTGGACGTGGGATTTGATTCATTTTGTGAACACCAACTTCTTGTAGAATTTTTTTTTCTTTGTCAATAATGGTGCAATTGTAACCCTATCAGATTCAATTTCATAAAGCTGATAATCTAAAATAGTTAGGCTACTCTATTTTCAAATTTATTACGAATTTTACATGTAATTTTATATGGATTTCAAAATTGAGCAGGTTATGATCTCTCTTGGTTTCAACCCAACTTTGCCACTTCCAATCCTATTCTTTGTGATAGCTTATTGTTTGGCTTAATCTCTCATGCACGTACGATTGATTGATTGATTGCTACGGTACGTAGATGGCAGTGGAGGAATAAACCCGACGAGATCTAGAAGCTCAAGAAGAATGCAAACACTCTGAAAATCAATATCTTGGAGCTCCTTTCGAACGTGAATTATTTTCCAGAGATGGACGGCCACATCAATGGCAACAACACCAAGCTGACCGGGATCCGCCAGATCGTTAGGCTGAGGGAGATCCTCCACAAGTGGCAGACCGTCACGCTCGGCGGCTCGTCGAGATCCAACGGCCGCGGGATCGCCCCGGCCATCAACAACAGAGTGGCGAGCATCATCAGGAACGGTGACTCCGACGAGGAAGGTGGAGGAGGTTGCCCTAGCCCTCATGACGAGCCGCCGTCGGACGTCCCCAAGGGTTACCTGGCGGTGTACGTCGGGCCGGAGCTTCGGAGGTTTATCATTCCGACGGCCTACCTGAGCCACTCGTTGTTCAAGGTGCTGCTGGAGAAGGCCGAGGAGGAGTTCGGGTTCGACCATAGCGGCGGGCTCACCATTCCTTGCGAGATCGAGACCTTTAAGTTTCTCTTGAAATGTATAGAGCATCATCCCAAGGACCGCAATAGTACTGCTGGCGACGACGTTGAAGATCAAGCCGCAAGTAAGTAATTCTTTGTTTATCCTTATATTTTTCGTAGATTGATAGACAGTCAAATGACACACAAGATATATAACTAGACAAGTCATACAAGTAGATTGGGAATACGTAGATAGAGTAAGACGATACTTAGGTGTCACATAGTTGTAATTAGGTGGAGGTAGTGGCGTAGTCGGAATGGGGTCCTTAAAAAATTAACGACATTAAAGTGCATGTACTAATAAGTTTTGAGTTTATTGGGGCCCTTAGTTACGACAAATTTCGTTGTAAGTATGAGGTCCTATATTTACAAAATCATATTTGTCTAATGAATTTTTTTCCAAATTTTTTGTCTAAGTGGGGTCTTGGGACCCCACTCCTCTTGCTACTAGGTGGAGGTAGATAGTCAAGAATAGGGCTGGGAAACGGTGCGGTCTGGTCCAGACCAGACCATATATACGGTCTACGGTCCAGACCGAGAGGCTAAAGTATAGACCACAGACCAGACCACAGACTATACGGTTTGGTCCAGACCACGCCTGTGCGGTCTGGTTCGGTCTGGTCTGGTCCAGATAGACCACACTCAACGAAAAATGAATAATTTGTTTAGTCAACCACACAAAAAATTGAAGCAATAACCAAGAAAAATAATTGTTATTTGCCTTAAAACATTAATCCTAACATGCATGAATAATTTTGATACTCTAAATCTTAGTACATAACAAAGATACAAAGTAAAAGCATCTCAGCTTGCACCATAATGTCATAAACATTAACATAATGTCATATGGAGACACGATTATCTCTACTCTGTGGTTAAATGTGGTTGTGAATGAAGGAGGGAAGAGATTCACAAAATTAAGGTTGAGACTTGGGTGTCGTTGTGGGAGTTTGGAGAGTGGTCAAATGGGTTGTTAACACGTATTGACAAGTCAGTTGGGTCTACGGTTTGGTCCGGTAAACCGCGGTCTAGACCAGACCAAACCAAGAGATCAAATCATAAAATAATACCGACCATGGACCAGACCAGACCATACTTCACGGTCTACGGTCCGGACCAAACTGTGCGGTACGGTTTGGACCACGGTTTTTCTAACGGTCTGGTCTATTTTCCCAGCCCTAGTCAAGAACAACCAACATAATCTACAAACTCAATCTTATTTCTCTATTTTTTAAATAGTTCACAAACTTTATTAGATATTTCTTTTTTGTGAATTATTAAGTAAGTTATAATCATTTTAACTAAACTGCAAAAAAAATTATAATTACTATTACATTTAGCATATAGAACGAATTGTTCTTTTTGCTTTCAACGGCTGAAATCGCTTAGGCCGCGCTTGAACAAGTTAGACACAAGACAAAGCTCCAACTCACATCTTCCATATTTAACTCCTAGAACTTAGGTTATTATAATCCTCAAGTGCATGCGTTGTGTCCAGAAGTGTTTCAAAGGTTCTACATCTGCTTAGTGCTTAGTGGAAAATGAAAATAGTTTCATTTTGGCATTTTTTTTTTTCTTTGGCAGGTGAAGACGTATTAACCGTGAAGGAAGGATAGAGCAAAAATTGATTTCTGGTGTAAAACTCAAATGAGTCTCGTTCTATGCAGATATGTGATCTTTCTCTGTTCCAATTTGTTGACGATTCTTGTTCCCTCTTGTTTTTGCTTCTATTTTTCCTCCCGAATGACAAACAGTAGGAAGGAGGTTTTGATGATTAGATAGAATGTCTGTCAATGGCAGGGATGTGCTTTTTCGGGCTCGGCGGGTTTCGTTCTTGTTCGTGTGATGTACGTAATGTAACCCAACAAGTGTTAATTTGTTGAAATACTACGTATTTGTCTAATTTTGTATTGATGCGAATCCGATAAGCACCAAAATACTAATTAATTCCCCGGATGATGTTATTAGACCGTGCCGCCGCCGCACAATCAATTCACATCTACACAACGAGCTAGAGAGCGGAGCTAGCGTCGAACAGGGCGAATCACACACCACACACTAAAGAAAGAGGTTTTGAAAGTTCTTGGACCTGTTTTTCCGGCGAAGTTGGTGTAGTAAACAGGATCCAAACACACCATCAAGCTAGCTCGCTAGCTCCACGTACAATATTGTGGTAATACTACATACATATATATTATACTGTCATCGGTTATAAGGAGAAGTCGAGAAGGTGGTGGTGAGTCGAGGTGGAGGAAGAAGCCACTTGTGGCCATTGATAAACGTCATGCTCAAGAACGGGCTCGCTTCCTCGTCGGTCAGCAACTTGGCGTAGCTAACCCGCCCCGACGGAACCGCACCTGGTCCCTTGCACTTGTACTCCCCATAGTACACGCTCCTGCTTGCAAAACCAAATCACACTTATCAATCAACCAATAGTCTTAATAACTCGAATTGTTTGTGAGACGTTCGATTATGAATCTTATAGCATTTCTGAACACACCCTCCTCAAACGAAAGTCGACTCATATGGCCTTGAAATTTGTACAAGTCCGGATATCATGTGCTTAATATAATAGATGGGGGATATTGAGAGATTTGAACAAAAGACCTCGGTAGGAATGACAATAGGGCTGTGCAGGTCTGGGAATGATATCTCGATACTCATACCCGTCCCGTGACCGATTGGGTAATTTATCATGGGATGCGGGTCAGGGGAGGTCGATCCATAAGGATGTGTGTAATGTAAAAGGAAAACATTGGAAATGTTCATTTTTTTCATTAAAAATCCAAGAAACAAAATGTAGCTAAATTATCTGAGAAATTGAGGTTCTCATCTATTTACAAATTCATTATAATTAAAAACATGAGGTAATTAAAGTAAAATACTAAATGATTGAGTAATATATTGAATTTAGGCAAAAACAGGTAAAAAAATTGGGGTAGGTCACGTCAAGAAAAGTATCTATATTCGTCCAACCCCGCCTACGTGCGGGTATTACCTGCCCAAAAAGAGTCGAGTAAAACGCATCAAGTCGAATATAAAGAACCATTAATTCTACTAACTTGAGTTGTTATGAGAAATTTAATAATAAATCTTATGGACGCATGTGTGTGTGTGCAATTTGTACTTACTGGTTAGGGTTGGGGGTGGAGCCGACGCTGTACCAGCCGGCGGGGTTGATGACGGCTGGCATGAAAGTGTAGGCAAAAACCACCCTCGACCTCTCCCTCCACGCCCGGCCCAGATACGTGGTGTAGTCCTTTGTGGCGCCTCTGATGGTGCAGTGGAGGAACGAGAACCCACTGGTCTCGCCTTCTTTCTCCCTCGCCTGCGCCGTGATCACACCGGTCTCCTCCGCCACCGACTCGATGGTGACGTTGAGGTAGAGAGAAGTGCCGTTGCCGAAGATGAAGTCGACGGTGCCGCGGACGTACGAGTCCATGAACAGGTGCCGGCCCTGGGAGTCGCAGAGTGTGTCCTGGAACCCCAGGAAGTCGCAGCTGTAGAACGCGGCCTTGTCGCCGGAGATCCTCATCGCCACCGCCTGGGAGCCTTTGCTGTTGATCTCTGGCATCGGCGCCGCGTTCTGTTTACTCACACAAACGCACCGTTGTTAATTCATTAGTACCAGCGAAGAGTAATCACTAATGCATTTTTTTTATATTGACGAAAATGACGATGTTGGCACAGGATTGTGTCTTTAAAAAAGAAAGATCATCGATATTCGATAACACATTTTCCTTTCAAGTTTTCCGTTCTCTTTTTTTTCTCTCTCTCTCTCTCATAGCCTCATCAATCATCATGTATTGCAAAGAGGAATACTGATAGTTGTTGTCGAAATTCGAAATTAAGACTTTATTAAAGAAAAATTAAAGAGGAATGAACAGAATAAGCTTAAACCATTTGAAGTACGATCAAACTTTGTTGCAGATTGTGGTCCTAGTGTTTTTATTATTCCTCTTTCCCAATTAAGAATGGTATGAATTATGTTTGTTCTTGGCTTCTTGCTCGTTGCAAATTAAATAATTTTCTCTCATTAGTCAAATCTATATAGGTGCCGTCGTACAGCTTATTTCCTACCGCCGTTTCTTGCCAAACTTTTCAAGAGTGTGATATGCGTACGTAAATAAAAGGAGCATATGGCTTGTTGCTCAGTAAAATCTGCCGTCCTAACGAGAACTAGTCCTAAACACCCCCATCCCCAAATTCCCCATAACTAGCGTATAGCAGCTGGCCGGCCGGCTACGCCTTCCCCTACCAACTTATTTCATTTTTTTTAAAGTATCGCTACGGGTTGCATTGTATTCCTGTAGCCGATTCAATATTTTGTTATTAATAAAACATTGTACGATTCATAGGAGGAATTTTACTATGCTTTAAAGCATTGGTGCTTTAGTTTTTGTTTTTATGGTACAACTTAAGTTGTACCTTCAACGTTATGGTACAGCTTTAGGTTGTACCTATACTCTTTTGTAAAATCCCTTTATGGTATAAACTAAAGTTGTATATTTAAGTTATGGTACAACTTGAAGAGTTGAAGTTGTACCACAACATAAAGATCAAATTCCCTTATGGTACAACTCTAACTTGTACCTTTAACGTTGTGGTACAACTTAAAGTTGTACTTTAAAGCACAAATACTTTAAAGCATAGTAGAAACACTCCGATTCATAGGGCCTTTTGTAGTTAGACAATGTACGATTTGCAGGGGCTCGATTAATTTTGAATGGAGGTTACAATGTGATTTGCATTTGATTTACAACATAAAATGGTTTTTATCGTTTTGATTGAATAAAATTTGATGGCTTTCCATAATAAGTACATTATTAGTATATTATAACTAATTTGAGCATAATTTTTCAACAAAAAAAAAGTTATAAGACTCACTAATTAATGCCTCTACATTATATGGAAGTGTTAGGTAAGATTCTAGGGGAAGGACTAAAGTCCATTCATAAAAAGGTACTAAAATACCCAAAAAAATGCACAAGTTCCTATGCATAATATTGCATGGTGTACTCTCTTTTCTTTTAATGAAGGATTAAAAAGCCGTATTGTTATGACAGCTGAACCTCAAAATACCGGTACCAAATCGAATCTGACTAAATTACAAGCATCTGTGGTATAAAAAGTTGTATTAGTCGATTTTTATAGGTTGAACATATGAACCGTGGTATTCCCCACGGTATTAATCATACTGAACAAGTCGAATTTTTTTAATTATCCAATGTCCAAACATAATGTCATTTTGAGTGAAAGTTAACGGGGAAAAATCAAACAGAGCCCTCTCTTGGATAAAATGTAACGTTTTCACTTTGCAATTGTGTTTAGTTAGACTTAATTTTAAGGTTAATTGGGGAAGTTTGGATTTTATTCTATGTGATTATATGTCTTTGTTTCTCATGTTAAGTTAGTTATTATTTGACTCATTACCACCCTGTGTAATTTCGGTATTTTTTCGGCATGATAACATGTTTTTGTCGGTCTGGAATTTTAACAAAAATATTTATTTTGAATGATATTTTCAGTATGAAACGATTGTACTATAATCGGACCAATAAATACTCTATCATCGAATAATTTGATTTGGATTTTTTTTTTTTTAATCCTTGCTTTAAACTAAAATTTGGGAGTCCAACCTTTTGTAAATGAATAGTAGATTTAATAATAAAAAAATTAGTAAGAAGAATTTGGGTCTCGAATCCATAGCTAAATTTCAACAAGCAAACCAGCTATTAACTTTAAATTTTGAGGGTGTTGTCGCAGTTTCCTTTTTGGCAGCTCATTTTCTACTGCTTGGGCATTATCTATTGCAATCAATAACTATCAGAGGAGTTTCACAAAGTAGTAGCTTTCACTTCTAACCACATTTGTCTGCTCTCTCTAAGTTGAATTTGTAACTGACACATTTTCCATACAGTTTTCTCTCCTATTTTCCCCCCTCTTTATCTATTCAACACATTTTCACCTTAGTATCCACCGAATGCAGTACACTTCAAAGCTAGAAACCGAAGAACCCAAAACAGTAATTAATTAAGTCACAAGCTTGCAGAAACAAACAAAATGAAGAACGCAACAAACAAAACAGAAATGAAAGACACAGAGGAAAATAGGGGGAGGAAGAAAAGGAAAGGAAGGGAAAGGAAAGGAAACAGACAGCTAATAGCGAGCTGACCTCAAAGATGACGTTGACAGCCATGAAGTAGTCGCTCTCGACCGCCACGGTGGCGCTGTAGACGGTGCCGTACTGGGAAGCGGTGGCGTTGAAAACGATGCGCGGCCTGTCCGCCGGGTCTCCGTACAAGGTGACGAACGGCTTGCCGGAGCCGACGGTGATCTTCTCCCAGTACACCCCTCCGCCGATCGAAACCACCGTCCGCCTCGTGTTCCCCTCCGGGATGCTGCGGATGGCCTCCGTCACCGTCCCGAAATCCGACGGCTCGCTCTTGGCGACTCTGATCACCCTGGGACGGCCGCTCTCCGCCGCCGACAGCCGCTGGTCGCCGTCCGTGCCTTGCGATGACGGCGAGGATGACCTCATGCTGTGGGCGGCCCATGATGCCAGCTGGGACGGGTCGGAAGGGACGAGGTGCGGCTTTGAGTCTGCTAGATGGAACAAGCAGTTAAGCAGTAGGAGTAAGAGAAGAAATGGTTTGGGTTTCATTTGAGTGCTTCTTCTGATCAACAGAGTGTGCTTTAGATTTTGGGTTTCATTGATGAGGACTAAGGAGGAGGAGGAGAGGGCAGTTATAGCAGTTATTTAATTTCGGCGGTTAATGCTATGATCCCAGCTTTTTGTCACTTTACCCAATTTCCCCATCCCTTTAATTTGTTGGTGACATTATATAGCTAGCTGCCTTTTTGTTTTCTTTGGTTGTAACTTTCTAACTCGCCCAATGGGTTAGGCTCTAATGGATGACGAATCTTGTATCTTGCATCAGTATTATAGAGCAAGTATCAAGTATATATGGATGGATTTCTTTGATAGATTGGAATCTGTCTTAATCGTAGAAAACTTATTAAAATCCGGTTGTATCATCGTGTCCTATCGTCGTATTATAGTATCACTATGTGATGGTACGATTATATTAACCAGGAGTTTTGTACGCCGGTTTTACGGGCCGGAGTTTTGTACTATAACCCAAGTCATTGTTTATATCCATTGTTAATAAAAGTAAAGCCGCGCATATTTTGAGTGTAAAGTAAAGCAGTAATTCTAAAAACAAAAGGTGGTTTTCGTCCTTGAAAACATATTGTGTACTCTATAAAACATTGGAAATATGTAACACACTAATTTATGAGTCAATAATTTCAAATCCATGTCAACCAACGCCAAAACTTCTGATAGATCATTCACACTGTCTCGCAAAAGAAATAATAATACAAAATTCAAATTAGTAATTACAGCGATAGTCTTTTATAAAAAAAAAAATATGATGGTAGTCGGTAGTGGATCGCTTAAATGCTGTAAGGAGGTAGAAAATGAAATAAAACAAAAGTAGAAGTAAAATTAGTTGAAAGTAGATGGTCTCAGTTCACTCTATATAGTATTCGTTTTGTTAAAAACAATTATGCTTGAAAGAGTGACCCAATGGACTAGTCATATGAGAGTGGTTCACCTCATTCAATATCCAACCCTCAAAAACCATTTGGCTCATCTCTTACTATCCAAGCAATTGGACTTCTATTGTAACTGCCTAACTGGTTTGGAAGTTCTACTTGTGCGGTTGTTCATACTATCCCATTCTTATACAAGAATTTTGAGTGCACTCTAGTTCATCTCAAAACTATATCAATCTTCAGTTGTAATACAATGCACATGGTATGGATGAAATAGCACAAATTGAGATCTTTTATGATTTACTTGTATCACATGTATGTATCTCTTAAACTTGCTAGGGACACCTTCATAAATGCATCTTAATGCAGCCCATTACAAGAACAAACTTATGAGCATAAATGTTTGGAATAGTTGTAACTTATAATTCTAGGTTACAACATGTCATGTTAGACTAATGTCGTGATTTCAGTAAAAAAAAAAAGAAGTAATGTAGCAATTAAAATTGATTGCTAAACCTACATTTTATTTAGAGTGTTTAGTCTGAACTAGGACCATGAAATCGGTTTAGTGTTTAGGTTTAAACCGATTTGACCGACAATAATCTTATCAGTTTTGAGTTTTTGGTTCTGAATCGGTTTATATTCTAGTTGTTTTTGTTACGGTTCAACTCGGTAAGAAACCGAAACTGGCTGTAACCGAAACCAACTTTTACTCTTTTGTATGAACGGATTGTTCTCACATGTTTGTGAACATAAAAAGCAAAGAATGTGCCTCCTCCAACGTTTTCCTCTACAGGTTTGTGCGGTAGGAAGGAAGGTATGGCAGAGAGGGGTGTGACTGTGTGAGTTTGATCCATGCGGGGATGCTGAGTCCATAATGGAATAGGTTGAAATATGTTGCATGCTTCATGTTTTGTCATCATGGAAATGTTGCAAACAATGGCAATGTGATCCGACTGAATCGCCGCCACTTTATTGCAAATCCCATTCACTTGGATTTTGTGGATCTGTACCTTCTAGTTGATAACTTTACATGATAATTTAAATTCGTTTTGTTAATATTATCCAATTTGATTTGAATCCGTTATTGTAAATATTATTCGACTTGATTCGCATTTGGTGCACACCAAATATGAATATTGAAGTACTTGTCATGTTTCTCCTATTGCCATCACTACTTACCATGACATTTTCGAACCACACGTATGTCTATGTAGTAGATGTACTACTTTTTTCAGCAAACCAGTGGTATGGAGGGTTTCTTGTTAAGTATCTAGTACAATGATGGGTGTTTTATTTGCGTCATCAAAATGATGTTTTGTTGTCTTCTTGATGAAGTATTTGTTCAACTATGAATCAGATTGATGTTAGTCTCTAGCATAGTACGGGTTCGGGTCTAGTGAGATTTTATTTACGAGTAAATTATATAATATTGTATTGAAGTTCACTCCATTCAATATATCTGCTTAAGTACTTATTTATCAAATTATCAATTATTCGATTGTCTCACTTCTCGTATAATTCATAAGCTAGCTAATAAACTATCTATTATAGACAATATAATAAAATGTTGTACAAAAAAATTATCTTAATAAAACAAATGTGTTGGGTTAAAAAATATGGTGAGAGATTTTTTTTTATATCTCTAGTAGAATGAAAAATATTTTTAATTACGAGGTAGAAGGTTGAGGACTTTCAATATTCTCTAATCAATATAGTGTTATTTATTTACGTATATCATAATATTGATGATAGTTAAATTTCCTAACAACTGGATCTTGACTTCTTAAACTACCCATAATAAACTAGTTCCTACACATATATATAACCATGGTGGCATCTTTTTTGGATGCATTCAATGCACTCGCCTCATAATCATCATTCCGAGCATGTGACTCATGTCAAAATGGTATCAATCATCACTTATGATCTTATGAACAAGAAACACATGAATTTTCAAAAAAAAAAACATTCAAAATTGGCTTTAATTTGAAGGATTTAATATTTTAGGGATTTAGAGTTAGGGTTTAGGTTTACAATTTGGGGTTTTTGGTTGGGATTCAAAATTGAAGGTTGAATGGTTAGAATAATGGATTGATTAGTTGTGATTCTATGTTACATCATCATATTAGATCAATGCTACTAATTACCGTTCAAAATTTAATATACTATGGACACTTTTAAAATTGGGTGCACTCAATACACCAAAAAAGTAAGTGCACCCGAAGTAGCCACCATATAACCATATTTATTTTTTCCAAGGAGAATCCTAAGACCCCACTCCTTCTCAGTTCTCACCTCCCTCGGCCATGCGGCAGGTGTAATTTAGGAGTAGAAGTAAAATAGATAGTTGTTCTTTCTCTATGCATGATTGCATCATGTGTGCAGTGAAGTCGAGGAATTGAGGAGATGTGACGTCGTGCACATATGTGGTACTACGTACAGCGTGGTCAATGTTTAAATGTAAACGGGCTCCATTGTGGATCCAGCAAAGAGTACGAAAGAACTTAATAGAAAGGATAGTGTATTGTCGTTGTAATGCAGCATCTGGGACAAGGAGCTGCTCCAAGAGACTGAGTAATTGATTATCCTGTTCTCCATGACGATAGGCGCCCCAATATGAAGCGTGGAGCGTGCGTGCGCGGTGTAGTGATTCCAAGAGAAACTGTGCTCGAGTCAAATGGGCGGTTTAAGTAAACATGGGTCTACTGGAGACCAAGTAGCAGCAGGACTGTTCTCAAGACCTCATTTTTCAAGTCTCAACCGTTGGTGGTAGCAGCGAATTAAGTCGCGACGAAGAACTCAAATGGCTGTTCATGAGGTTGCTGTATATTGACTATTGAGAGAGCCTGTCATGTTACCTGTCTCGGCAATGGAGGATGTATAGTTTTAGTTATTGCGATTTGCGAACGTAATCCATCACACCACTGACCTGTGGAGAATGGAGAATGGTAGTTCTAGATAACATCCGTTTGGAGAACGGAAGGAGATCACCTGCCATCATGGTGATCTTGATTTCTCTTAGTTATGGCAGAAGATCCCTCATCATAACCAAAACATAACGATGAAGTTACCGAATGACTATGAAGTTCTAGACAATTCAACAGATTCGACACGACAAAGTTCAGCACTTTGACTCTTTCCCAAGAATTAAATGGAGAAGAGAAACCACTGGCAATATGTGGGAGCATTACAAACCCAGAAATGCAGAAACAAGGTCAAAATCCAGCAGTGGGATCATTGCCTACATTAAATAACTAAATCACAACACAAAAACACTACACGGAAAAATTACTTCCCGAATTTGCTTATGCACTTGCTTGCTGGAGCTCAATGATGCAGGGCAGGGTCCTTCCTTTTCTTTCATGCTTCTCAATCATCTCTAATTGTAGACCGGCCTTAATCAAGGTGCGTGTACCTGGAGTCTGGAAGCCTGCAGGTTACTGAAGGAACAGAAATGTACTGGAAGAGGATGAGACGCTGAGCAAAGAGAACATCAATTATTATAGGCCAAGTTTGCCGAGAAGTTCCTGCCATCTAGGGGTCTCCTCGTCGAATATGTAAGTCAGAGGAGAAACCAGAACACCACTGCCTCCAATCTGCACAAATCCATACAAAATAAACGAGGGAACACTCAAGGTGTTAGTGTCACATGGGATTGGATGTAGTACAGCCTCCACTGTTAAGCTTATCTGAGGCTAAAAAATACTAACTAGAGAACGAATAACTGACCGCTCTAAGTTGCTGCACAGACTTGTACAATTCCTTCTTTGGTACACAAATGACTATGGCATAATAGTCAACCACAACTTCTCCATCACGTTTGCAGAAAACTGGACTTACAGTAGGCCCCTGTGCGAAGAACAAACAAGATAAATAATTAAATTTAACTTTCAGCCAAACAAAGTAAGCTCTGAGAAGATTACAGGCAAATTCATCTTAAGTTGTAGTTAGATGAAGAGCTTCAGCTCAATCATCACATTCGAACTGTAATTATGCAAAAAAAAAATCTTCAAAGTACATATAAATAAATAAATGGAGTGGCAGCAAATTGCATTTTTGTTGCAAGACTTCCTTACCTGCAGCCCAGCCAAAGACGGCTGACTCAGTACTCGCTCAGCCACTTCATCGGGACTATTTCCTCTCATGTTTGCAACCACCTAACATGGAACGGGTTGAGAAAACAAAAAACCCAGTACATTGAGTATTTTATTCTTCTTTTCCTTCCTTTCTAAGGTGTTCTGCAATAGGAACATAAACAACTGACAGTACCGTGAATTGACCAACAGCCCTCAAATGTGCCTCCAATCTTTCAATGATCTCATGTGTTGTGTCCAACAAGCCTTTCCGGTGCACTAATGATTTCTTGCTTGCAACAAGAACAGCCTACAGTAACAAATTAACTTTTGAGGTGAGGTATATGCAGAGCAACCAATTTTGTCAATTGAGCATAGGAGACATGGTTGGAAAGATCCTCCCTCGTCTTTGAAGTAGCTAGCTTTACCTGACTCTCCAATACAACTCCACCTTCGATTTCTTTCAGGTTATTTTCCCTGAGGGTTGTCCCACTACTGACAAGGTCTAAAATTGCATCAGCTATACCCATCTAGAGTAACAAAGAAAAGGAAAATCGTCATTATCTATAGACTAATGGTACAATCTCCAAATGAGTTACGGTACTCACTACTCTATATTGATTTTTCGTTGTACTTCTGTATTCAAGAAAAAGGGACAAAATTAATAGAAGCAGAGATTGAAGGAAAAAAATTCTCACCGCTGGTGCTGCTTCTAAGGCTCCATCAGCAGTTGAAAAAACCACATGCTTCAGTCCCTTTTCCCTCATAAACTTAGGTCCTAGCTGTTATGAATTTAAAGTTCCAAAAGGAATAATAAGAGAAGAGCAAGGAACAGTTGAATAAGTGGCCCAGTATAAATACATAGATACATGAAACGGCCACACAGTAACGTACATAAGTAAATCCAGTTGCAACTCGTAGAGGTTTCTCAGCTGTCCACTGAGGCATTCGAGCCAGCTCATCCATGGAATTTATGTTTTCAAAGATGCCATATTTTGGTATCTGAGTAACAGTCGGCAGAAGTGAGCATTTTAGAATATCAAACTGGAAATGATGAAATAATAACCATGGTGAATGCAGGTGAATTCGAGCTTCCACCAGTGCCAAGAAGAAGACACTTACAGCTATCGATAAATGGCAATCCCCAAAATTAAGAGAATCGTGAACAAGGATTAGATCTTCACTTCCCTGTCCACAAATTTCACATGTAAGTGTCATATATCTATGAATTTACCATGTAAATAAGTTTATGAATATAATCCCTTAAAACCAAACGAAACCAAAGACAGAGTAGCTGGAAAATGCGCTGCTTTCATATCTCATATATGAGGAACTGCATTATCCCATTGGAATTACTAAATTCCTACGAGCTACTGCTCAAAACAAGAAGATTTTACGTTAAACACAAGAACAAAATAAAAGCTATGTTTCAGCAATTTAGAAGTCCTGGGGAGTAGCCACTCATATCCTCTGTAATTCTCTTTCAGCAATCAAGACACATGAGCACATACTTCCATTCATATCCACGCATGAAATGCATGCAGAGTGAGCATTACATAAGTGCTCCCATCCGTCATTTTCAAAATTAAGAGAACATAAATTGGGTTGAACAAAGATGAGCATCAAGCCAAAGTGAACAACTGATTAGAATATCAAATGTTACCTGGCCATATTCACTGACTATATCAAGGCCCACAATTCCAAGGTCCAAATCTCCGGATAACAACTTTCTAACAATGTCTTTGGGTCGCTGGAACCAGACTTCCAAGTTGGACAGCTAGAGAACAGAATGACAGATTTATGTAAACAAAGCCAGTGCTTTTATCAAACGAAAAACATGGAAACCATTTCAGGAACTATTTAACATAAGGAATTGCCCAAAGGCTAATGTTTCATAAAGAGAGAAAAGATACCTGAGGAATGTCCGCAACATATTGTCGAGGATTAACCTTTCTGACAGATAGTTGACAGTCCTTCACACAAAGAAGTAAGACAGAACTATTTATGAATAATGTTTGTGTACAAGAACGACAAATTCCAAGTATAGAGCTTAAAGTTACTAACATAAGTCTTCCTCTATTGTTAATTATCCAACCAATTTCCCCACAACCACCGAGCAAGAAGGAAAACACGAAACTGAAACTGTAGAATGATGCGCTCACCTTAAGGAGATCAAGAGTGTCGTCGGCCATCCGTCCTTTGCTAGGCAAGCCAAGTCGAAGCTCATTCCGGTCAGAGACTCTAGACCCAGCTCCGCCATTAACGGAGACTTGATCTTGCAATAGGCTGCAGCGGACAATTCTTGTAGGAAAGGCGACGGAAAGTGGCAGCCTAGCGCGGGAAGCAGAATGCAGACCAGGACATAGGGGAAAAAGAGAACAGGAAGAAGAGGTGGACGAAGGAGGAGCCCGAAGAGACATTATCGTGACTGGCAAGCTCTTCCTGGACGTGTCGCTGTTTACAATCACCCAATTCGACGCGACCCAAACCAATAGTCCCACTTTCTGGCGCTGTTGCTACGACTGGCAGTGGAGTAAATGGGTTCTAGTGAGTATAAGCAATTTCTTTCATGGAAGCCAATCTAATAAGCTCTACCAATCATCAGGGAGTAGAACAGAATCGAAATGGAAACTAATTCAGTTCAAGCAAGGAACTTGCTTATGCTTATGTAACATTTTAGACACCAAGAACTGCTACCAAGTACAAAGGAAATTAGTATGCAGAGAACTATACAAAAGAAGTGTTCTGGTGATGTAAGGAGTCTGCACTTTTTCAATTTGTCGACCAAGCACAATCATTGCTCATCCTGCATCAATAATCAATTGTCAATTCAGCGAATTTGCGTGACTTACAGGGCAGGCAGCGGCAAATGGGAAGCGGAGAGCACGGCGGTGGAGAAGTGGATAGAAGCGTGCGGCGGCGAGTTTCGTCCGGTGGCAAAGGTTTTGCGTAGGGGTTGGGTGACGGCGGCGGGGGAGTTTGTGTGCAACGGGTAGTAAGGTTTTCAGTGGAGGAGAAGGGACGCTCGAATGAAGAAAAAAGAAAAGGGCGAAAATTGTTTGCTCTGAACTCTGAAGAGAGGCCGAGGGTGGGTAGCGGGCGGCTGTGAGAATTTGGGTGAGAAGGACAAGTTGTAAAATTTGTTGATGTTAGGGATTTGAATCGTTAATCTCGTCCAGTGAAAACAATCATGCTTGTGAGTTTCTGACCAGGGTTGTCGACCCTGTATTCTGACGGCCAGTTCAATCATGTTCGACCAGAATCGGTCATTTAAACAGTCAGAATATACTTTTGTTTAGGAATGCCTGCAAAGACTCATCCACACAATTCCGACTCAATTCACGCGTATTTATTGTCAAAATTATAGTTGAGATTGGGTGAGGTTTTTTTTTACAACCTGCCTCGACCGGGTTGAGTCAGGATTATGAGTAAAGCAACCCATAGAATCCGACCCAACCCATGTTGAACTATTGTCATAAGTGTTCGTATCAATATTTGTGCGAAAATTAACCTATCTTGTCATATTTTTCTCCTATGGTTTCCCTAACATAATACATTCTTCAACTTAATATTTAGACGTAGATTTAATATAAGCTATGATTCACGTGTTATGAATGTGTCAGCTTATAATCACTTTACCTTATCTGGAAAAATATTTATGAAAAAAACTAGACATATGTTGAAGTAAATTTCATTTCATTAAAATCCAAACAAGATTTATGCACATTGACACTTTTTTCCTCGATTTATTTGCTTAAAATTTAATTATTTATATTATATTTTTATAGTGTAGAATAGTTTTCTTTTTGTATTGGATTGGGTTTTTAATTAAAAGTATCTTCAATCTCACCCAACCCAATTATAACCAAACTATAGGGTTTTAATTTTTTTGGATGGGTTTGAATTTAATATTTTCAAAATCGTAATACATGGGTTGGGTGATTAAATGTACCAAACCCGAACCACCTGACCATGTACACCTCTACTTATGTTGGACAATTCTATAAAAAGCCAAAACTGAGTTAAACCAGTCAAAAATGGATTAACCCAGTTAAAATTGGGTGGTCTGACCAGTCAAAACCTGGTTTGAAGATAAGAATTTATAATTTTATAATATATATTTCATTTGAAGAAATAATTTGGTAATATAATGAATGTAGATTAGTGAAATTATTTTAAAGGGCTAATACCACTAGGAAACCCGAACTATTAAGAATGTGTCATTTGTGTCCTAAAGTATCTAATATGACATTTGTGTCGCAACCTATTATAGTTTTGTGTCATTTATGTCCCAACCTATAATAGTTTTGTGTCATTTATGTCCTAACCCAAACTATTAAGAATGTGCCATTCGTTAAATACTAAAGGTAAACGCCGGTCAACTCTAACGGAAAAATAGTTTAGGACACAAATGTCATATTGGATACTTTAGGACACAAATGACACATTCTTAATAGTTCTGGTTTCTTAGTGGTATTATCCATATTTTAAAATATGTCAAATATATGCATAATCTATTTGGTAGTAGAGGTTTTATCACACATTATGTTAAAACCGACTTGAGCTGGTTGAACCCGATCTGACCAGTAAACCTCAAACCACTTGTCAAACCGGTTTGATGACTTAATCCGATTTGACAACCTTGGTTATGACACCAAAAAAAAAATCAAGACCCAAAGGGGTACCCCTAAAATTTGGTGAAAAAGGTAAAGAATTCTGGTAGAAGTTTGAGTATGGGGAAAAAGAAAATAATTAGGTAGTAGTCTATGTGATTTTGTGACTTTCATAAACCAATTAGTCTCAAGAACACTAGTTGTTGGAAGAAGGTTACTTATGAATCATATATCACTCTCTTACACACGGCCTAAAACGAAAGCCAACTCATGGACTTGAAGTTAGTAGAGGCCCTTCATACCTTGTGTTTCAATCAACTGTTAATATTGAGGTTAGTGGAGATTCTTACACATGACCACTTAATCAAACTCAAGTTGTGGGAGGAGGTTAATTATGGATCTTATATCACTCTTTTATAATGACACTAGTTTTTTGGCCCGCGCTTCGCGGCGGTAAGAAATTTATTATTCCATTTAATGAATTTAGTTGAGATAAAATCATTTACAAAATAGTTGGGAAGATACTTCGATAAGCTTTTCGTATTTACTTAATCGTTATGGAAGACTTGTGCAATCGTTTGTTTAACTGATACATACGTAATAACTTTCATTTCATAATTTTACATATTGTATTTGTAATTTACGTAAATTTTATAAAACGGTGTTATGTAAATTTTCCATAATGTGTGATCCAGTAATAAATTTGAGTTACTGATAAGTCTCACATTAAACTATTATGTAAAATTATTTTATCTTACGGAATCTTTGTATAATGCGAATTGATGACATTGTGAATGTTGCAGGTAACAATAAAAATAATTTAGTTAATAATAGGTGAATTACGTTACGAAATGTATCACAATTGATTTAGCTGTTATGTAAGAAATAACTGACCTTATCAAACATTTGTGCAATACAAATTGATGAATCGATCAATAGTTCAGTTAATAATTTTAGTTTAAATTAGTATTGCGTATTTAATTGATACATAAGAAATTACTATCACTCGATAAGTTTTACGTAGTGTCTTAATTATTATGAAAATTTTATATAATACAGTTTGTATAATTGAGACATATGGAATAAGTATTCCCTGTAAGCCTTACATTATATATTTGTAACTTACGTAATTGTTATACAATGTTATTATGTAAATGTTCTGTAATGTTCCGTAATAGAATCACATTTACTCAAACTACTATGTAAAACTTAACTTACATTTGAATTTAACTTGATTGATTAAGTTGTTATGTAAAAAATAACTGACCTTACAATACCTTTGGCTAATACAAATTAATGAGTCAGTCAACAATTCAGTTAATAATTCAGAAATTTTAGTTTAGATAAATATTACGTATATAATTTATACATAAGGAATTACTATCACTCGATAAGTTTTACGTAGTGTCTTAGTCATTATGAAAGATTTATACAATACGGTTTGTTTAATTTAGACATAAGGGATAAGCATCCCTTTGTAAGCTTTACATAATATATTTGTAACTTACAAAATTGTTATAGAATAGTATTACATAAATATTCTGTGATGTATGCGGGTTAATAATAAAATAAATTTATAGAAAACATCACATTTTCTTAAAAACTATGTAAATTTTAACTTACCTTTGAATTTAACTTGATTTTATTGTTATAAAATGGAGTCTATGATATGTAAAACCTAATTACTAAAAATAAATGTTCCGTAATGTATGGTCTAATAATAAAATCAAGTTATAGACATACCACATTTACTTAAACTACAATGTACAAATTAACTTACCTTTGAATTTAACTTGCTTTATTGTTATAAAATGGTGGCTATGATATTTAAAACCTAATTACTAAAAGTCTCTGTTTGGACCTCTATATGTTTTGTGTATTAATAGTGCTGCTTACCTTGCAACAAAAGATTGGACGCTCCATTTTGGTAAAAAAATAAAACTTGCCCAGCCCAATGTGCATACATGCATTAGCACACGGGAAAGTGAAATGTATTTACCGCATGCGATTATGACCCTAGGATTACCGATAAATTCGTAATGAACAGTACTTTTAAACTTGCGCTTTAATAGATTAGATGGTAGTTAATACTTTTTATATTGTACTACAATTCATTTGTTGTTGTAATTTTTATAAAAAATATAATTATAAACGACTACCCATTATTCCCAACTTTTCAAACCTAAAAAAAAAAAACTCAATCCACCTACGACCACCTCTTATCCCACCGTATACTAACATACAAACGAAGAGCTTTGAGTCTTCGACCTCCTTCCTCTGAGAATCCATTCATCTAGTCTCATTACTCCTCTGAGAATTCGATGACGCTAACCTCGACAGGTGAGAGGTGTGAATCAAATAGGCGAGCACTTCATGAATGATTGTTTAGTATGATATATTGAAAGAGATTTGTTTAGTACGGTACATTGTTAGTATATTTCACACAAAAAATCATTATGAGAAAACATATCGTGGACTGTATTGTAACTTGTACTAGTAAGATATTTTCTTATTTAAGAATTTTTTTTAAAGAGGACAACCTATATGAAAGTCATGGGTCTGCCACTAAGTAAAACAACAACATAAAAATAAAATAAAAACATAAATTTGTTTAGATGGTAATATTGAAAATCATGAAAGTTGAATATAAAAAAATAGAAAACGTATTTAGTAAGTATTTGAACATCGTTTAGTATCAGTTTTGAGACTAAGACAAAAATAAAAAAATAATGGGAGAAGTAGTGTGGCATGAGTAGTTATGTGAAAATAGAAGAAGCAAGGATTTGAAAATAATATTTGCAAATAGCAAAAAAAGTTTTGGATATGAGATGTAAAAATGAAGAGGATAAAAATATGTAGAAAATGTGTCTAATGAGATTTGGTCATATAGTCCCTTGAATGACATTATTCCAACAATGGATAGGACCTCACAAGAAACAACAAGGGAGCTACTTAAAGCGATTTCGCTTATTTCAACTAGTTTTTTTTTTTTCATATGTCAACTCCTATTGCCACAACAACATCTGAAACAGGAAAAAACTCTCTTCTCTCTCTTCTTTCTCCTCGTGAAAGAGCTCCTGGTTAGGGATTTATTCGCCATCATGGTGGCCTCCCTGTCGGTGACAGCATCGATAGAGAAGACGATGACCATGGCATCTTTGTTTGAGTCAGTTGAATTTTGATCGCATTCTCTTGATTTATGCTTTAACCTAGGAAAGATAGAATCTTATTGGGTTAAGAGAGCTCATCAATTGTGCGAGAGTCAATCGATTCACTGCTATGTACTGGGAATTCACTCCAGTAGTGGAGATTTTTGTGTATGCTATGAGCATTATATTCTGGTGGAGGTTAGTCGCTCGTTGGGTACCTTGTCTAAGAGGGCTTGGCCTGCTTAAGAGATTGCAGACTATTTTTGGATCTTCTGCAGTTTAATCATCAATAAAGCAACTAAAGGGAATTACAACTTGGACCTAATTGAGGAGTTGGGGGATGCATACTTGAGTGTTCTCTCTTGCTTTAGAAAACCAGAACAATTTACTCGCGTATTTTTCTGCTCTTTTTGCGAACAACTTACCTACAACTTGACCGCTAGATAATATAGAATTTGCTGAGTAAATA